GAACTGAAGACGGGACAGCAGGAGGGTGTTCACCGGGGAGTGGGCATAACCAAGCCTGCTGTAGAAACTACAAATTGACCTCAGCTCTCTTTCTTGCCTCAGCACCACAAACTCCACCTGTTACACATGATACACGGTTTCAGGGTGGGAACACGGCTGTAAATGAGGACGCTGGGCTGAGGACTGACCTGTTTGCGCTCTGTGTCACGTTTTCTTTCCGGGATCATGTCCAGGAGACAGTCAATGTTCAGAGCCATGTCTGGTCCCAGTAAAGATGAGTTACTATGTGACAGTGGGAACGCACCTATGACAAATTTCAGAAGGATTTCAAGACTGCAGGATTGCTTATTTCCTCCTTTACTATTTTGAACATACTCTTGAATACTGTTGCTCCTTACCGAGAGGAGCACTATGTGCTCTCAGGTTGGGTGTGATAATTTGGTCATCCACAAAGTGTCCCTCGAATGCACGCCCGTCACTCAGTGTGAATTTTCCCTAACAAAGGTGACATTTTTCTGAATTTTACAATCAGAGTTGATTCATTCTGCACTTTTAATACATCAATAAGAAAGCATACTGTGGATTTCTCTAAACTTTTTCCAGCTGACAGTGAAACACACCTGCCCGTGCTTTTTATTGTTCTTCCATTCTCCTTCATAGATCGCACCACCAGCGTAGTAAAAGGTTCCCCATCCATGCCTCTGACCCTGAGCAAATTCCCCTGTGTATCGATTGCTCTGGGAATACTGAGATCCATCTTTTCGTCTTAAATTCCAGACATGTGTGCCTTGGCCATGCTGCCGCAGGAGCAACCAAAACATAAATCTGATTCAAGAATTAATTTTTTTTAAGCTTTATAACTTCATATATAATTAAACTAGGGTTTTCTTTCATACCTGCACTCCATCCTGCCATGCCCCAACATACTTCTGTCCCAGATTCAGCCACCGCATCGTGCCCTTTCCATGCCTCTGGTTGGTCTTCCACTCACCAGAGTAAGTGTTCCCAGAAGGGTAGCTATCAGGAACAGATGTTATTGCAGGGTAATTCAAATACAACACCAGATGAGGAGATATATTCACCTGATGCATACCATCTCAGTCCACATCCTTCTCTGTTGTTCCTCACCCAATCTCCTTTGTACCAAGAGTTTTTTTCCTCGTTATAATACGCCGTACCCTAGCACAAACGAGACCAATTAAAAAGAGACAACCAAATTCCTAAAAAATGACAAAATCAATGGTAAATCATACCTTTCCATGTCTCTTGCCCTGATGCCACTGCCCGCTGTAAAACAAGCTGTTTTGGGTACATTTGTAGGTTCCTGTCCCATGTGGTATACCGTTGTAAACCTCCCCCTTATAGGTGCTGCCATCTGCCCATGTATAAGTGCCCTGGCCCATGGGAATATTGTGTACAAACTCTCCCTATTAGATAAATTCAATTCAGTATTTTGCCTGCATTCCTTTATCAAAGACTTTGCCTCCACATTATGTTTCATTACACCTTACTGACCTGTATTTTTATGAGTGTGTATATAAAGGATGGCTGTTTTTAGAAATGTTACATATACATTGACTTTTCAAAAACCCTGCTTAAGAAAGGATACTGTACAGTTAGTTTTTAATGCATAATTTCTGTATGCTACCTCATATTTTAGTCCAGCTGCCCGTGTGAATGTGCCGAATCCATCCATAAGTCCTTTGGAAAACATGCCCTTCACAAAAATACAATTCAAACATACATTTTTGTTATTTGTTTGATGCATTTTTTTTGGAAGGATATAAACACATTTCAAAATATATTATAATATAATAAATCCTTAATTGATTTATGAAATTAGGTCATTATTTGGGCCCGAGCACCGAGAGTGCGAAGGCCTATTGTATCTGCTCTGTTTCTTATTATTATTATTATTATTATTATTATTATTATTATTATTATTATTATTATTCACCCAAACAAGGCCTTTTTGAGGGCCTAAACATGCTCAAAAACTCATGAAATTTTGCACACATGCCAGGTCTGGTGAAAAATTTTGTATTTTAATGGTTTTACATATGAGCACTGGGAAATGGCTCTACAGCGCCACCTATGCCTTGTTAAATGCAGCCCTACGACCACATGGTTTGAGCTACATGTATGAAATTTGGCACACATGTGTATCATGCCAAGACGAACAAAAAAGTCTGTGGGCCCATTGACGCAAACCCAACAGGAAGTCCGCCATTTGGAAGAGAAGGTGACATTTTGGCTCTAATTTTGCCATTTCCATGCCTCGAACTTTTGCGAACTCCTCCTTGGGGTTTCATTTCATAACCTTCAAATTTGGACAGTGTCAACTACACCCTTGTGCCATGTTAAATTGCGGAGCTTTTGAGTTTTCACAATACTATGAGGCCGTGGCGCCATGGCGAATTTCGATGACTCGCCATGAAAATCTTATTGCCTCTCATTTTGTCATACATTTTCTGACCTTGACCAAAGTGAACACATATGATAAGGCTCCACCCGTGAACATATTTCAACTGCCATATTTGACATGAAGGACAGCGCCACCTAGTGGAAACAGGAAATGTCATGTTTTACACTTTGGGGTACAGTATAGTGATGGGTGACATCTGCAGCCTCAAATTTCTCCAGGAAAGCCTTAAGGAGTTGGTCTTGGGTTACAGTGAAAACTGTGAGTTTTCGCGAAAGGGTGTGACCCCAGCAGCATGGCGAACTTTGATGTCACGCCATGAAGAAACAAATTAGTATAACTCAATGAAATCCAGTCTGATCAGTACCAGACTTTACAGGCATGATGTCAGACGCGCCCTGAACAGATTGATGTGCCCATTGTCGGAAATACGGACAGCGCCACCTAGTGGCAACAGGAAATGTCATGGCTTTAATTTTGTTGTACTGATTTTCACAGGTTCATCGTGGCCACCTCAAAAGCGGTGAATATCACCATCAGTCCCTCGTGATGCTTCAGTGCAAAAATTGTGACTTTAAACTGAACGGCGCACCCTGGTGGCAACGCTGTTCACGATGAAAGATGAAGTGGCTTTTGAGGGTCTTGGCAAGTTTATAGAGGCTTGAAATTTGGCACACACCTCCAATGTGACGAAGGCTTTGTTGTTATGTGATCATTTTCATTGAATATCCCAAAATGGCTCCACAGCGCCCCCTACAAAATTTCAAAACCACAGCCCCAGCTCTGTGTTTTATGTATGAATCTGAAACCTGGTAGGCTTATAGGAGATATCAAGATGTACAAAAAAGTCTCTTGGAGCAATATCCCAAATCCAACAGGAAGTCAGCCATTTTAAAATTAATGTGCAATTTTGGCGACATTTTCTCCTCTTTTCAGGCTTCATACTTTGACGAACTCCTCCAAGGGATTTCATCATATTGAACCATTCTCCAGTGTGTGGAATCTAAAGACCTTTGTGATGTTAAATTGCGAAGCTTTTTCCGTTCAGGGAAACGGGGTGGTTATGGCGGCACTTAGAGTTTGAATCACTCGCCAAAAAGCAGTAATCTGCTGTCACTCAAAAACACAATGTCCAATCTCTCCCAAACGTCTCAGGTGTGATGAGACTCGAGCTTGGAAGTGTTTGTTATGCCATTTGTCAGTAATGGTTAGAGCGCCACCTAGTGGGACGACTATAATGATGATTGAATGAGATGAAATGTTAGCTGGTGGTTAAATGCATGAATTCCATCAATGTGACATCAGATCGGAGGTGCTGGTTGTAGGTGTTGGGCGTGGCTCGACGCGATGGGTGCGAGGGCCCTCATAACGCTGCTTGCAGCTTTTATTTGTATTTGAAATTCATTTGTAAAGCTGTACCTTGTACACATGGCCTCCTTCAAAATAAGCTACACCTTGTCCATGAAACTGCCCTTCACAGGTTTCCCCTTCATATCTGTCAGAAAGACACCAAACCTCACACCCTGAGTAACTTATAGAATCAGAATCAGAAACTTTATTGTCATTGTCATGAGAACAACGAAATTAAGAATGGTCCCCGATCATTGCATCATCCCTATCCAAACATAGCATCGATCGGTAGAACACTGAGCTGCTGCAACTACGTGCGCCGCCATCCTGAAAGCTTATACGTTCTCTAAAAACAATTATTCACATAACTAACGTCGTGAATAACAATGTACCTCTGTTCAGTTAAGATAACAAGTGGGGGAAGTTCATAGTTGCCTTCGTCCTCGGGCTGCTCGTCACTGTCAGGATGATTCTGGAGCTTGATTTGGCTCATCGTCATCGACTTTTAAGATCGTCTACCCTCCTCCGTTTTGGATGTCATACCCAACTGTTATTGTTTTCCCTTTTTATTATTATTTTTCCCAATCAAACATTTTCCTTAGCCTCTTTTCTATTTCTCATCTTGTCTCAAGTACTGCACAAGCTGGGAATAGGAACTTAACCATGGCAACGGACGCTTACAACTACGGAAGCCTGAAAGAAAGCCTTCATTTGAGTTTGCTAGGCTAATCCTTGGTCACACCCTGACCTGGTGGGCTTTGAATGCGCAACTGATCTAGTATTTACGATAACCTTAATAAAAGGCATTTTGTGAGCGCAAATAAGTAAATAATAAAACATATTTTCCAGATACAGCAGTCGGACACTTTCAAGCGTCATTAAACACTCATTATGGATTTCAAAGTAATGGAAAATACATTATTTCCATTGTTAAATTACTTCTGCTAATCTTAAATCGGCATTTGCTACTGGAAATTTAGATAGTCTGATGTGTATAACGTTTACAAATCCAGTGGCTGATAAAACGATCCCAAATCTTGTGGTCCTAAAGTGACGATATTTACAGATCGTTTGCTTTTCTGCATTTGCCTTCAGTAATTTTACCACTCAGGTGTGAATCTAGGTTGACCTCACTCCAGTAGCAGACCCATTCAGTCAACACAACACAATGCAAACCTGTAAATAAATGATTTAAAGTAACAGAGACAGAATACATATATTTTTCCAGTATCTTTTTTTATTGTTCTGTGTAGTGTATATTAAAATAAAAAAATATAATATGTAATATACATTTTTAAAATCTAAACACAACTAAACATGACATTAAATCAATAACAAACCATTTAACTCTACAATATACCATAAGAGTGGTTTGACAGAAGTAATCTGGAGTGAGGACACATTTGAGTTATCTTAAATCAGTTACTCCAACAGTTCCTTCCTTTGCAGACTCAGTATTGTGAGATGACGTCCAGGTTAGCGAGGTGCCTCATGGTTGGCCTGCCGTGAGGACAGTTCCATGGATGCTCGAGCTCCCCCATGTGAACCACGAGCTTCTTCATCTCATTAACACTCAGAGCAGTGCCGATCATCACCTGATGAGCAGAAAATGTATCAAAAAGCATTTTTAAAATAATGTTATGCAATTTCCCTATAACGACATTTTTAAAAGATCTTAGATAACTACAAATTACTAGCATTACTAACAGGGTGTATCATACCATATAGTTTATGTATGTAGCTTTCCAAATCAAGCTTCCTCAAAGATGAATATCATTTCTGAGTCCAAAAAAACGTAATATCACGATGGGCAAAACAATCTAGAAATCGAGACTTCAAAAGTGGACTTTAGAAACCAATAAGTGGCCACGTCCATCCTTTATATACAGTCAATGCTGCAGTCTATGACTATCCAGTCAAAACTTGAGTGAGCACTTAAAAACAACGTCACAGTGATATAAACTCACAGATTTCCGACAAGCTCTGGAGGCGAACATCTGCCTGACTCTGGATGGTCGACACATAACCCCTGGACTGTCGCTCAGCATGAAGATCAGTTCTTCGATGTCTGATGGACCGAATGTCCAGTTTTTACTGGTGGGCAGTGAGACCAACTTCACTCTCTCCATCACCTGAGCTGCAGTCCCCAAAAAATAAACAACAAATATAAGCTTCATATTTGTAACTGTCAAAATAATCAGATCACTTTTAATCCCTGGTGCAAATTGTATTACCGTCCTCATCAATCAGAAATTCAAAGCCATTGCCCTTGAAAATCTCGATGTTCTCTATGAGTACGTTCTCACTGACTGCAGTGAGGTGAAGTTTTTGTGGGCTGCAAACGGAAAAAGAAAATAAATAAAAACATACTCGGATTGCCATTGGAAACATTCCAAACACGGTTTTACTCAGTGATTTACACTCTTACACAATGAGCTTCTGCCCTTGGAGTACGGTGTGCTGCTGTAGCATCTCAAAGTTGTACTTCTCATCTGTGGCATGCTGATCAATCATGAAAAGGTCCGACTTGAGTTTTGTGATAATGAAGCCCAGGTTAAACTGACCGATGATCTCCATTTCTTTAAACATTTCTTTACTGAAGGGATTAAAAACATTTTTCTTTTAATTATTTGTTTGAAAATTGCACACCGACAGTTAAGTCCATACCTCTAAAATCTACCTGATCTCCTTCTTGAGCTCTTCTTCTGCACTCTGGTTTTCTCCTGGATTGATCTTGGCTCTGAAGCGTCTGTACAGCAGCTCTTCCCCGGCCCTTTGTTTCTGCTGGTCATGTAACCTCCTCATCTTCTTTGCAAGCTCTGCTAAAGAGAACTGAAGATGCACAGTCCTCCTCTGCAGGGAGACTGGAGCATCCACTGTCAAGGGAGGTTTCTCACCAGCGTTTGAAAAAGTGCTGGATTCTTCTTCTGAAGGGAAATGTGGATCGTCTTTCCTGGCCCTCTTGGCCTCTGGACTGACAGCAGAGTCCTCATAAGGAGTGCATGCTTCAGTCTCTAACTCTGGATCTTCGGGAACAGTGTGAATGTTGCCTGATGTCTCTTTAAAAGTTTCATTATTAACACTCGTTCTGTCCACTTTTGGAGGACTGGACTCCAGGTCAGAACACTGAATATCGGGTTTTGCTTCAGCTGTGTTACAACTGGACCCAGCACTGTCTTTTTGAGAATCAGTGTCCTCGCAGGACATCACTCGGTACCTAAACCCATCTAGCACCGACTTCCCTGCCGACGAGCATTTATCCAGCTGTCTTGTGTATTTTAATGGAGATTTTAAACTTGAGTTGCAGGAAGTTTTTACAGGATCCTTAAAAAAAGACTGCAGTGTTTTCTGTGTTGTGCCACTGCCGGAAGCTTTTTCCTTACTCGACTTCCCAGAACTGGAACTGTAATGACTTGAAAAAGCAGCTTTTAGGCCGGCCAGATTCAGGGATGACTTTGGGCTCAGAATAACAGATTCGGTGTCCTCCTCACGTTCTGCCTTGTTCTCGTTAGACAAGACAGTTCGGCAAGGTTCAGATGTTGATGTTGCATCTATGAAGAAGCACAGAAACAAAATGAAACTTTTAAGAACAGCTAATAAAAATACCATTCATTGGAAAAGGGATAATTAAATACTGAACACAAAATGTGCTGATTTGATTAAACCTGGCAGGGTCCATATGCCTATGATATCCCATGAAGTAACTGTACATTATTGTCTTGGTAGGACACTTCTGAAAATAATATATGAATCCATGCTTCATTTGATAATACTTTGTAATACTTTATGGACTTCTCCCATAAAGTAAACAGATTTTGTAAAAAGATTCTACACGTGGCCATGCATTATTAGAAGATAAATACTATGTAGCTCTCATGCTCCCACACTTAATTAACTCATAACCATGGCGTTATTTCCTCCTTCCCTTACATTACTAACCAGTGAGCGCAAGGACAAATATTCCTAAAAACCTCTCAGTGTTGCTATTTTACCGTATTATTAATGTAAAGATATGAGGGTCTACATGTAAAGGTGTATTCTTACTGGTGCTGGGTGCAGGTGTATAGTTCAGGCTGATCTTATTGACTCCACCCTCATATATGGCGATGAGAGAGGTCTTCAGAATAGCCAACAGGAGTTTCTCCTCCTGAAGGAAAATCTGTCGCTTGTCCGGGGTTACATTCACATCCACACACTCTGAAAACACAACGCACATGCACTCAGGGAAATCAAACGGGTTCCATAAATTACATCAGCTTGATTTTCTCACCTGAAGCAACAGCTACGTTCAAGGCAACAAATGGATACTGATGTCTGTTGTACATGTGATACACTTCGTTTACGAGTTTGGTCACCTGCAGGGTGGGAATAACCAGAGTTCAGGCAGGAATGATGAATTCTGACACCTCCTCATAAAGCCACTCAGCAGGAATTACCTTCAGGGGGTCACAAGGCCGACTGTTAATGAAAAAGAACTGCCTGTCTGTGGTGCTTCTCCCAACACCGTGGTCACCTTGAGACACAAAACCTGTGATCCTGTCAAAAGCAAACAAAATAATAATAATTACAAAAAAGAAAATAATAACAAGAATTGTGCAAAAAGGTCTTCCTATAAAACACTCACGAGAAAAGCTGTTTGGGTAGATCTGCACCCTTGAGTCCATATTCTTCAATAACATTTTCAGTGGGAGAAACTTGCTGGAAAGGTAGAAGACTCTGCAGCTGCAAGATGTACAGCCAGCACATAATCACAGAAAAAAAAATTAATATGAAATAAAACATTTAGCAAGCACATGAACCGCTTTTTGACAAGCCTCTTTTATGAAGTATCAGGCCAGTGGCTTTGTTGTTATTAGCAACAGCATATTAACCTGCTTTGGTCCAAATATGGCTCCAATGTTGTCTCTCATACTTTGGCTGCCAGTAGTGCTGAGGACTGTGCTGCGCTTTCCCTGCCCATTTTGGTTGGAGCAGGTAATGCGCACTCCTGTAGAAATGATACAGTAGGACTGCAGCACATGTATCATTTTGGCATACTCCTAAAAACACAGAACAAGATAATAGCCGTTATTAAGGTCTGTTGACATTGTTGATCTAATTTGTTACTTTAAAGTTAAACTTGGCATAGAAAATACCCACTCTTGCCGCCGCCTCTCATCTAGGACAACTCCAGAGTAGAACAAAGCCCAGGAAACTGGCTCTGGAGCCCGAGTTGTATGTTGAGGCGAACATCTCAGAGATGTGACCTACCACGTACCACAAGCTAGTTTTGAAAGCCACGGATCAACACACCAGGACCTTGTCCCTGATCACCGCTCACCGCACTGGGACTGGCTCACGGGTGGAACCCTGGTAACCCTGAGTTTTTAACCCTTGATTTTTTTTGGACTTCATAGGGGTTGTTAGAATCGCTCTTTGTCTGGCTCCTCACCCAGAACCAATTTCCCTTGGCAGACCTTACCAGGGACAAACTGCCCCTGACAACATAACTCCTGGGATCACCGGAACGCACAAACCCCTCCACCGCGATAAGGTGGCGATTCACAGAGGGGGCACCTGAAGCCCACTTTTGGAAAACTCAGTATGTGAAGAAAGACAATGAAAGAGACGACTGAATGCCCGACCTTCTTAATATTGCGTTGAAACTCCTTGTGTCGAACAGGCAGGGTGGAAAAGAGCTGCTGCAGGCTGACCGTGGTGCCCTGTTGCCGAGGATGAGGGGTCCTCTGCACTAGGTGGCCTTTGTGGTCAAAAACCAACTTTGTGCCCACCTGGCTGGACTCGTGGCAGGTAATGACACTTAAGTCACTACAATAAGGAGCAAGAGCAAATTTTAGCTGGCAAATAATTTAGTTTTATATCTAAAATTACCGCAGAACGTGAAATACTTTACCTCAGAGCACATAAAGAGCTCAGGGCTTCACCTCTGAAGCCAAATGTTTCCACGTGGATGAGGTCAGAGAAATCCCTCAGCTTTGATGTGTGATGCTTCAGTGCTGTGGAACACACAGATGATTTCTTCTTAACAAACAAGCACAGGCAGATATTGTCTAATTACACAGATACAAAGGTGACACTTACTCAGTCCTTCAAAGTTGGCCTCCTCAACACCTTTGCCATTGTCTGCCACCTCCACTTGTTCAGCTCCACTCTCCTTCAGCTTGACATCTGCAGCATGCAAACATGTGATACATTAAACTATATCTAACAATGCAAAACAGTATTATTAGGCAAACGGGACTCTATCGAAAAATACTTTGGGTAAATATTTAATTACCAATGTTGGTGGCTCCTGCATCAATGCTATTCTCCACCAGCTCTTTGACAGCAGTGGCCAAAGTCAGCACCACCTGTCCTGAGCAAATCTGATGCACCGAGTGCTTATCAATAGCTCTGATGGCCCCGGCAGGTTCAGAGCTGCAGCAAAGAAAATCAATGTTGAATTCCAGTGTACAAGGTAACAAAAGTTTAAAAAACACAAATATATCCATATGAACAAATGCTCTCGCTAGCTTACCATGCATCAGACATCTTCGAAGAGTGGAGTGACTTGAGAGTTTAAATTTGTTTTTTTCTGTAAAACACCGAATAGTTAGTCCCTGCCGTCCCTTCTGTCAAATAGTATCATTGGCACTGCTTGCCAGTACATCCACTACCCGACACCATGCTGTAAACACAAACCTAAAGCAAGTCCCGCGCGAACTGCGCAGATTGCTCGCGAGCGTCACGTGTGCGCAGAACAGCGCAGCTTCCTATTAAAAGCAGCAAAACAGTAATATAATGAGTGCGTAAGAACACAGCCTCAAAATTAAATACAATAGTAGCAAAAAAAGTAAAATAAATGGCACTGTTAGAGTAAGTATTTTCAAAGCTGTTGCCTAAAGCTTAGTATTATTTCATCACCAAACCGACTCCGTAACGTGTCAGGGCGAATGTGCAATTATCCAGTTTTTAAAAACGAAAAGACGACTTTTTAACTACAGGGACCACCTCAGTGTCTTGACTTTTTAGTTTCATATTTTTCAAATGCGCTTATGTTAATTTTACTTTAAGTTTTTATTTTATTTTATTTTTTTATTTTACAAAAACATAGATTAAATAGAATAAATAAGTTAACCTTTTGGCTTAATACGCTTATTGTCAGACGGTCCCTGTAAGGCTGGGGAACGCAAAACATGGCTGTCCATTGACATGGTGAACCTTATGGCATTTTTCATACAGCTTTTCGGACTTTTCTGCCGTTGTACATTTTCACAAACTGGGATTTAACGTAGAGTTTGACTCATCTTATTGCAGACATGGGGCAGCTTTTTTATTTTTATTTTTTGTCGGGCAGCGTGGTGAATTAAGCGTTTTATTTTGCCATGTCATCGTTATTTCCCGTACTAAAATGTACAGCTCACCGTCCGACAACGGACTCGTGCAGTCGGAGGAATGTTCTGGCAGCAGCGGCCTTTTGCTTCGGCATAACCGTAAACCCAGCTGGAGGCAGGAGGCAGACAGTATCGTTAGCCTGCTAAACTTGGCGACTGAAGAGGACGACGAAGTCCAGTTTGACAGTAAGCAGATTTTCGTTGCTGTGTTTTACAACTGCTAAACTCAAAGGTTTTGTTTACACCGGTGTCAACCAAACGTCCGTGACGGTTGTCCACATTGATTGAGTGAAATGTGAGTTTTGGAGTTGTCGAAAGTCCACACCTGCATTTTTACTTATGTAATATAGCAGGGGCGTAGCTAAGAAGTTAAGAGTCCGTGTGACAAGCCATCCTCTGAGAGACCGTTTATTTTAACTGCATGAACAATTTTAAGGATCAGCTTTAGTCTTCAGCCTCAGCCTCCAGTCATGATATCGTGCACAGTACCCTCCAATAAGTATTAATTGAATATGGTGCTTGCAAGCATATTCAATCTTTTCACCTTTGCAAAACCCATTTGAGCTGGGTATGCATTAAAATGTTAACTTAAAAAGCAATCTCATTAGTTGGATGACGTATTGTAGTATCCATTGTTTGAGTTTCCTTTTACTTGAAGCAATCAAAGTAGCATGAATTAGTACAGACATTAAAAAAAATAATACAAACACTCCCTTTATTGTGGATAGCTGGTACCCAGCCAGATCCACTTATACTTAAGTATAGTGGCAGCTGTCCTGTTTAAGGCATGTTTAGAGTGAAATGAATTCTGTTAAATGCTACCATTTACCTCAGTGATTGTATTAGATTTAGGATTTGAAATAAACTTCAGTGAATGTGGCCAAAAGAAGAAGCTACCGTAGCTTTATAACTTTTGCTGATTTTGATTGCATGTAAGCTTCCTCTACTTTTGCTGTCTTCATCCTGCACTCTCTCCTTCTCACCCTCTCTATCCTCCTCCCTCAGGCTTTGTGCTGTCACCAAAATGTAAATGTGACAGTGAAACAAAATGTACAACAACAACAATAAAAGCAGGATTTACATCGTTTTATGATAGTATTCTAATTGAATATAGGCTTCCACTGCCCGTTGATAGCTAACATCCTTCTGGCTTGCTCTGGAGTGCTGTTGTGCTGTAAACAAATAATGAAGCCCAATTCAAGCAGAATGGGAATAAAATAAACTACACTGGCTCCTTGGCTGGCATAAAGCGATATGGCAGTAGACTTATGGACAGCTAATAATCTTTAGCGCTCTAGCCTACATCGGCTAAGGTTTGTGATGCTATTTAGAGAATTTAGTGATGAAAATTAGGGGTGCTTGTCCCCCCACCAGAAAGGCTCCAAACCCTTTGAAATACACTCGTATATATTTGTGTGTTTGAGGTCTCATTTATGTTTTGGGTTTTGAGGTATGTGCGGCTGAAATGCCTGACTGAATTAAAGCAACCATACCTATTTATGCATGGCCTATCCCTTTAGTTCTTAGTGTCACAGAGAGAAATAATAGTCTTTACATGTGAATTTACTCCATAGAGCCTTCAAATAAAGTGAGTCACAAAGAGGCAGGTCTAGCCTGACCTTCCTCCTTTACATAAACAGGATTTAAAATACACCTGGTTAATGTTTGCTTCACACGTCAGGCCCTCCCTGTGTACGAATTCTGCAATATTATAAAATGAGAGTGACGACGGAGACCATGCAAAGACCCCTACATGCACATCTTCTCCTAAGCTCAGTCATTTTGTGCGATAGGTGGAGGGGGGCCTGTGTCCACTGGATATGGCAGATAAGCATTACTGTTGTGCACACCCCCTTATGCATAAACAAGATGAGCAAATTTTTTCTTGAAGTTGAATCATTAGTGTAGCTCTGAGGCCTTAATATTGCACCGAAAGGGTTTTCACACAGAAGAATGGATATAGGAGAAAGAAACATTGTAGAAATTATAGCAAAAGTTATTGAAGAAGGTAAGACAGCTGTGTCAGAAATCTACTCTGTGAACTTTACAGAACAGTCAGCTGCTTTCACAAGTGCTTATTTGATCTCATTTTCAGTGTTTTTCTTTCTTTTTGTCCTATGTTTAGCTTCAGACACAGACGATAACCGTGAGGTGTTGATGGCTGGTAGGCATTATCCGTCAATCCAAGAGTTTGCCTCAGCCATCCCCAACCACCTTCTCCTCGGGTCTTTGCTCGAGCACCTGTGCTTTGTTTACGAGAGCAATCCAGCTCGCTCACGCATGCTGTTTAAAGGTAGCCATCGAGATCCTATACTAAGAACTGACATTTAGTTAGAAGAGAAATCCAAATACAGTTCATGTTTAGCATTTGGTTCATGTGTCACATAGGTTTAAGTATTTTATTGCTCCTCTCACAGTCATAGGTCAGCGTTTAGCTGCCATGAATCTCCTTTCACCTCTGGCAATAAGTGATGAATTCAGCACCGTCAGACTCCAGCATAACCGGGCCTTCACCGAGCTGCTTAATGCTGCCAGCTCCTCACTCTACCCTCAGGTAAGTGGATCTGTTGCCAGCACCTACACTGCGTGCTTGGAGTCAGTATGTTAGTTTTAATCAACATTTTTGAGAAAATTCTGTACTTTGATAAACCTTCTTTGCCGCCTGCTGTGTCAAAGAGTGATCATTGTGATTATCCTCATCTTGGTTTGCAGGGCCTCGGAACAAACGCACACAATCCTTCTCTAAGGTAAATTGTATTTGGATTTTTTTCTGATGCATGTGTTCAAAAGCATATTTCAGTACATTTTTAAGGAAGCCTGTTTGTGCCTTAAGCAGACCTAAGGAGGGACTGTTTCAAGCGCAGACATCACGGTATCTCAGTGAGTTCGAAGAAATCTGTAGACTTGGGAAAGGATCATATGGAAACGTATTTAAGGTATATATAATTTTTGTGACATTCTTTAAGAAACTCTTCTAAACTTTTCATTTTTCCTCACAATTTCATTGTACATGTACAATGACAAGAAAGGTCTATTCTGTTCTAAAACTGGATTTGAGTTAAATCATTGTGTTATCGTTGATAGGTTATGAACAAATTGGATGGACAGTATTATGCGATGAAGAAAATTCTCATCAAAAAAGTTTCAAAGGAAGACTGTATGAAGGTAAGCCTTCTGAGCTGTGCTCATTAGAACACTTATGTAACTTAAATACAGAGATATGAAGTACCCGCTTTAACTTGTTTTACTTGCTGTAGGTCCTTAGGGAGGTCAAAATGTTGTCCAGCTTGCAGCATGTAAATGTTGTGGGCTATCACACCGCATGGATGGAACATGTCCAGCCTGCAGCATGTGAGTATTTCAACTCTGTCCTGCACATGTTTGCTTGGAAGAAATGCATGATGGGACCGCTGATGGAGACTTTGTGTGTAAACTGTCTTTGTTGCAGATCCTGAGTCAAACTTGCCTGCACTAGAATCTGCTGGACGACAAGACAGGTAGGCAGTGTGATTATTATCCGTTTTGGCTTTGTGATTTATTAGGTTGTTGATAATTACAGTGTTACTATTATTCTCATTTATGGGCTCAAATTTTCGTTTCGAGGGTGTGCTAGAATAGATTTGCAGGCGTTAATCTTCAGATGGTACACAGATACAGCATTACTTCTCACCTTATGTGTGCAATGCTGTTTGTTTGCTCCCTTCCTGAATCCCTAATGTGTTCCGACTGGTCAGTTGGCACGATATTTCCACAGTATAACGGTTTAACGTTTTCCTAACAACAAAGGATTCCTGGTTTTAATCCTAGGAGGAGACACAAATGCTATGGGTGGGTGTGCTAAATTAGATGCTGAGCTACCCATTGTAACCCTTTAGGGACTAGCCAAAAGTAACTTTTTGTCAGTGGTTACTAAAAAGACAACAATTTAAAATAAGCAGAAAGGTTTCCTCTTGCTTCTAATGTCCTCTCTGTGCAGTTTTTATACAATTTTTAAAAAACCTAACAAAACAAAAAAACAGCACTTATGTAATCTTTAGCTGATTATATTAATAGTTATTTTTTCAGACCACATTACTGTTATATTAAGGGTTTTAGTTATGAGCAGCAAATTGGCACATGATTTGGAACATGGCTTCTGGTTTAAATTTGTCTCAGTGAGCCAAGTTTGTTTGACTGTTTCATTTTTATGTTGTCTGTGAACAGAAACAGAAAAATCTACCTGTATAAATGAGAACAGATTTATTGGGAATATTGCTTGACTAAAATTTTGTTACCGGTAGTGTGAACAAAGGCATATGGG